GCGGCGCGGGGAGTGATGGGAGCGGGCGCCCAGTCCCGCGCCGCGCCAAATGCCACGAGAGAAGGCTGGATTGTGTGCGCAGGCGCCGGGCGGTCGGGTCGACGCTGTCTCTCGTTGTGATCCCCAGTAGGAGGTGTCTGACGGAAGGTGCAGTCAGGCCGCCGCAGAGGCCGAGGGTCGGGTGCCGGCTCTGCCCGCTGTTACTGCCCTCGAGTCAGCTGGACACTTGGGGGGCTGCTGAGCGTCAGCAAGGTTGCTGCGGGGCCGGGCTAAGACGGGAAGGTTTGGGTATGGAGGGGCTGCTGGGCCTATGAACCTGGTGAGCGCTCCTGCATAATGCCTCTCAGCACCCGGTGTCCCTTCTGGAAACCTAAGGAGGGCCTGGCTCTACATTCTTCCAGCCCAGCTACAAGAGGCAAGGCAGGCTGGCTCCAAGGACTCTCCGCCTGCGTGCAGCGCCTGTGGGTTTCCTTGTCGTGGGGGGGGGGGGGGGGGGGTGCGTGCTGCCCTACCCCAGCCGAGACTGGACCCAGAGAGGACAATGAGGGCAAGTGGCCAAGGCCTCCCCGTAGGCCTTGCCCAGCCCAAGCCTGCCGCCCCGCACTGGCATGCCCAGTCAGAACCCTGACATTTTGGAAAAGCCAGGAGAGGATGAGCTTCTGTGCTCCTCACGTGCATGTTCAGGGGCCCACCTCTCCCCGCCTCCCCAGGTCTTCGAGGTGGATGGGGGAGGCGCAGCACCCTCTCCCCGAATGCCCATGGGCCAAGGACTTGGATGCAGGCCAGGAGTCCTTGGGGCCGTGGGCAGCCAAAACTGCTGGAAAATGACGCTTCTTAAGGCGAATACATACGTAACACACCAGCTCCCTTTATGCCCTGGTCTAGTGACTCCTTTCATGAAAGATCTCTGAAATGTTATCTGCATTTACACCCAATCTCTCTCGCTTTGATCCTTGAAACGCGAATCAAAGATCACATTGTACCTTCCCTGGGTGTGTGGGGCTTTCAGCCACCGGGGCCAAAAATAATAAAAGTGGCACCCAGCCAGGAAACACCTCCTTGAAGTGTGAATGAAACTTGCCTTTTTCGGTTGTATCTTTCCTAATTGACCTGATAATTTAAACTTCCTCCCTCAAGGGAGAGGGGGAGTTCCCGCAAATTCGGCTTTCCTCAGGCAGCTCAGGCCAACTCAGACAGGGCTCGGCAGAGAGTGGGCAGTAGATCTGTGCAAAAAAAGAATCCCAACAGGGCCAGAAAAGGCCTTTTTCGGTCCAAATTGCTTTTTTCTTTCAGACCATCTTCTACATTTTTTTAAATTTATGTAACATAAAATTACCATTTTAGCCATTTTTAGGTGTAGGATTCAGTGGCATTAAGTACATTCGTATTGTGCAACTATCACCTCCATTTCCAGACCTTTTTCATCACCCCAGAAACTCTATCCATTAAACAATATCTCCTCCTACCCCCAGCCTCTGGCAACCACCATTCTGTTTTCTGTCTCTATGAATGTGACTACTCTAGGTACCTCACGTAAGTGGACTCATACAATAATTGTCCTTTTGTGATCTCACTTAGCATGGTGTTTTCAATGTTCATCGGTGTTGTACCATGTTTCAGAATTTCCTTTCATTTTGAAGAGGAATAAGGCACAGAAAGAGAAATACCACATGTCCTGCTCATAAAATAATAAATTTTAAAAAGAGAAAGATATAACAAGCACAATAATATATTGAGCTTTCAAGAGGAGAGAACAGAACTGAGGTTACCAGAGGGGGGCCAGGGGGAGGGATGCTTAACCAGGAATTGGTTAAAACTGATTACTTTGTATAATGTTGAATATACTAATTATTCCAATTTGAGCATCACATACTGCACACAGGTATTGATATCCAACTTTGTACCCCACAAATTTGTACAATCATGTTTCGATAATTTTTTTTTTAAATCTGAATAATATTATATTGTACGTATATACCACATTTTGTTTATCTGTTCATTTGTTGATGGACACTTGGGCTGTTTCCACCTTTTGGCTGTTGTGAATGGTGCTAATATGAACATTGGAGTACAAGTATCTAAGTACCTGCTTTCTATTCTTTTAGGTATATGCCTAAAAGAGTGAAATTGCTGAATCATAAGGTAACCTTTTGTCGAACTGTTTGAGGAACTGCCAGACTTTTCCACAGCAGCTGCACCATTTTACATTCCCACCAACAGGCCACTAGGGTTCCAATTTCTCCACATCCTTGCCAACACATAGTAATTTTCTGTTTTGTTTTGTTTTTATAATAACCATCCTAATGGATGTGAAGTGGTATCCAAAGTAGTTTTGATTTGCATTTCCTGAATGACTAGTGATATTGAGCATCTTTTCTGGTTTATTGGCTATTTGTATATCTTCACTGGAGAAATGTCTTTTCAGGGCCTGTGCCCATTTTTAATTGAGTTGTTTTGCCGTTGTTGAATTGTAACAGTTTTCTAGATATTCTGAATATGAATCCCTTATTAGATACATGATTTTTAAGTATCTCTCCTCTTCCATAAGCTGCTGTTTCACTCCATTGATAGTGTCCTTGGATACAGAAGTTTTTAGTTCTCATGAAGTCTGATCTGTCTATTTTTGGTGGTGGTTGTTGCCTGTGCCTTTGGTGTTATATCCAAGAAATTTTTACTAAATTCAGTGTTGCAAAGCTTTTGCCCTTTGTTTTCTTCTAAGAGTTTTATACTTTCAGGTCTTACGTGTAGGTCTTTGATCTATTTTGGCTTAATTTTTGTATATGGTGTCAGGTAAGGATCCCACTTCACTCTTCTGCATGTGGATATCCAGTTTTCCCAGCACCATCTGTTGAAAAGACTGTCCTTTCCCTATCTTGGCACACTTGTTGAAAATCATTTTATATGTGAGGGTTTATTTCTGGGCTCTCTATTTTGGTCCACTGATCTATATGTCTATCTTTATGCAAGGACCACACAGTCTTAATTACTGTAGCTTTATAGTAAGTTTTGAAATCAGGAAGTGTGAGATCTCCGAGTTCGTGCTTTCTCAAGATTGTTTTGGCTATCAGAGTTCCCTTGAAATTCCACCTGAATTTTAGGATGGGTTTTTCATTTCTACAAAAACACCATTGGAATTTTAATAGGGATTGCACTGAATCTGCAGCTTGCTTTGTAGTATTGACATCATAACAATATTAAGTCTTCCAATGAATAAACACAGAATGTCTTTCTGTTTAATTATATCTTTAATTTCTTTCAGCAGTGTTTTGTAGTTTTCAGTGCACAAGTTTTTCATCTCTTTGGTTAAGTTAATTCCCAAGTACTTTGTTCTTTTTGATGCTATTTAAATGGAGCTGTTAATTTTCTTCTCAGATTGTTCATCATTAGTATATAGAAATGCAACTGATTTCTGTTTGTTGGTTTTGTATCCTGCAACTTTGATGAATTTGTTTACTAGCTCTAATAGTGTGGAATTATTAATAAGAGTTTATTAGCTCTTATATGTTCTACATATAAGATCATGTCATCTGTGAATGGAGATAATTTTACTTCTCCCATTCCCATTTGATTGCTTTTGATTTCTTTTTCTTGCCTAATTGCTCTGGCTTGGACTTCCAGTACTATGTTGAATAGAAGTGGTGAAAGGAGGCATCTTTACCTTGTTCCTGATCTTAGAGGAAAAACTTTCAGTCTTTCACCACTGAATATGATGTTGGCTGTGGGTTTTAATGTATGGGCTTTATCACATTGAGGAAATATCCTTCTATTCCTAGTTTATTGAGTATTTTTATCATGAAAAGGTGCTAAATTTTATCAAATGCTTTTTCTGTGTCAATTGAGATGATCATATGTTTCCCCCCCTTTCTATTAATGTGGTGTATTACATTGATTTCA